GAATTATGGAAATGAAAGTGAAAGTAGTCAAACTGAATTTTTAATATACCAAAATACAGTTTCAAAGAAAATAAATTCAAATTCAAACCATTAAATTCAATTTCAATTCAGAGAAATTTATTTTCAAACCAATGTACTCAATTTCAGATTATGCACATTCAGATTCAAGCTGAGCAATTCTAATTCAGTTCCTGCTGGAACAAGATTTATCCCATACAACTGCAGCAAGCCCAGATCACAGCACTTAGTTAAATCCAGGTGGACACTTTTCTTTGGCCAGGCAGTGCAGGTTGAAAATGATTTAAAACCATGTTTTCTGTTTTTATTTACATTTTACACAATGTCCCAACTTAATTGGAACTGGGGTTGTACAAAGGCCATGTTATCCATCTAATGTTTCAGTGAATAACGGTTTACGTACATGCAGATCTGTATGGGGCAGCATTTAAAAATGTGATGAAGTACAACAAAAGGTTTCAGCAGAGAGATAAAAGAGAGTGAGCTTATGTTTCTTCACTGGATCTTAGACATTTAGTCCATCTGGTTGGTCTCCATAAGTAGAGCCCATCAGGAGATGTAAAAAGTAAAACGTTCGACTGCAGCACAGTGGTTTTTGTTCTGAACCAGTTCTTTGTTCTCCTACCTTTAGCCAAACGCTCTAGTCTCTTCCCATGCTCTGGGGAAACACAATACCTGCAGACAGCCAAACATGAGAAGTCAAGATTTATTCTTTTACTTCTGTATTTTTTATTAAGCAAACATCTTTGTCAACTAACTTTAAATGAACTCTTTTCCCCTCTCCACACGCTTCGTCAGTGGATGTCAATATTTCACAAATGAAACAATTTCTTTTCTATTTTCTTACTTTAGCGATGACTTAAAAAGCAGTCATTAAGTGTCATCTTGTGCAGTGAGACAGCAGGGCTCTAGCCTAACTTTTTGCACTGGTTGCACRGGTGCGCCTAACATTTTTTCTTAGGAGCACCAGTACAAAAGTTAGGTGCACCCAAATTTTTAACCATGTCACATTTAACATCAGAGTTTTACAGGTTATTTTTTTAATCACTGTTCATTAAGGAAACATTAACTCAAAAATAATTAGTTAACAATCTAGTAAACATGAAGTTCTTTATTTCAACCAGAACTGTAGACATTTAATTTACTGAAAAGTAAATTTAAAGTGATTCTATAAAATTCTAAGTGCAAATGTTTAAGGGCTGAACATTTTATAAACATCTTAAACATTTCATGGTTAAATATTTTTAGACACCTGTCCCTCAGATGGACAACTATGGATCTTTGGTCTTGGATAAACCAGAAAGATGAACAGAGAATAATGATTAGTAACAGAAATATTACTGATATTTATTAAAAGGTTGTGCAGATTGTTTTTTAAATAATAACACATAAAAGTCTGCAATTTAATTAGCATTAGTTGAATCTTATTATCTTATATTATTTCACTTAAATATCTAATATGTCTAATTTTATCCTCCTGAGACCCAGAAGAACCTATTTCAGATAGTTGGAATGAAACTGTGGTGAAGTCGATTAAGTGTAACAGCAGCCTGCCATACAGGTGAGCTTCCTCGTCCTGCTGAAATGATCTGCTGCTCACAGAGCAGAACTCGACTGTTTAGCAAGATGGACTTAATAGCYAGTAACCGGCGTCCACATCTTCTTTTCATCTCCAGCTAACAAGAAAAAAAATGTTTTTCAGACTCCGAAAAAAA